GGTGACATTCATATTAACCTTTCAGGTGGCATTCATATTAACCTTTCAGGTGACATTCATATTAACCTTTCAGGTGGCATTCATATTAAGCTTTCAGGTGGCATTCATATTAAGCTTTCAGGTGGCATTCATATTAACCTTTCATATGGCATTCATATTAACCTTTCAGGTGGCATTCATATTAAGCATTCGGTTGGCATTCATATTAAGCTTTCAGGTGGCATTCATATTAAGCTTTCAGGTAGCATTCATATTAAGCTTTCAAGTGGCATTCATATTAAGTATTCAGGTGGCATTCATATTAAGCATTCAGGTGGCATTCATATTAAGATGTCAGGTGGCATTCATATTAATAAGATTTCAGGTGGCATTCATATTAAGCATTTAGGTGACATTCATATCAACTTTTCAGGTGGCATTTATATTAACCTTTCAGGTGACATACATATTACGATTTCAGGTGGCATTCATATTAAGCATTCAGGTGGCATTCATATTAACCTTGCAGGTAGCATTCATATTAACCTTTCAGGTGGCATTTATAATAACCTCTCAGGTGGCATTCATATTAAGCATTCAGGTGGCATTCATATTAAGCATTCAGGTGGCATTCATATTAACCTTTCAGGTGGCATTCATATTAAGCATTCAGGTGGCATTCATATTAATCATTCAGGTGGCATTCATATTAACCTTGCAGGTGGCATTCATATTAACCTTTCAGGTGGCATTCATATCAACTTTTCAGGTGGCATTCATATTAATCATTCAGGTGGCATTTATAGTAACCTTTCAGGTGGTATTCATATTAAGCATTCAGGTGGCATTCATATTAAGCATTCAGGTGGCATTTATAGTAACCTTTCAGGTGGCATTCATATTAAGCATTCAGGTGGCATTCATATTAACCTTGCAGGTGGCATTCATATCAACTTTTCAGGTGGCATTCATATTAACCTTTCAGGTGACATACATATTACGATTTCAGGTGGCATTCATTTTTAGCATTCAGGTGGCATTCATATTAAGTATTCAGGTGGCATTCATATTAAGCATTCAGGTGGCATTCATATTAAGATGTCAGGTGGCATTCATATTAATAAGATTTCAGGTTGCATTCATATTAAGCTTTATGGTGGCATTTTATTAAGCTTTCAGGTGGCATTCGTATTAAGCATTCAGGTGGCATTCATATTAACCTTGCAGGTAGCATTCATATTAACCTTGCAGGTGGCATTCATATTAACTATTAAGGTGGCATTCATATTAAGCATTCAGGTGGCATTCATATTAACCTTTCAGGTGGCATTCATATTAACCTTGCAGGTGGCATTCATATTAACCTTTCAGGTGGCATTCATATTAACTTTGCAGGTGGCATTCATATTAATCTTTCAAGTGGCATTCATATTAGATCTTCAGGCATTCAATTTTTCCAAATAAGTATACTGCATTGGTATGCAAAATTAAACTTATGGTAATTTTGAAGGGCATTTGAACTTTAGAAATAAAATCTCAAATCCATGAACATTACGATGCACCCAACCAATGAAAGCACACTATTTTGTTTCCTAGCAACCAAGACATTGGTTACAAGGAGCTCAGTGGTGTTAGTTGCGGAGGGTTTAGACACAGTGGCAATGGTCAAGATAAATGACAAAGTTGTCGGGAATTCCACGAATATGTTCATCAGAAATGTGTTTGACATCAAGTCTGCTATTAAGGTATCTTTCTACACTGTAAATACGGGTGATGGTAGTGGTAGTAGTAGGAGTGGAGAAAACTTGCGTTCCAGCGACCAAAGTCAACTACAGTACAGACAGTCAAAGCATAACTTAACATTTAGGTAGCCTTAAGCTGACTTAAAACTAGATTACAGTAAAATAATTTATTTTAGCTGGAATTAATTTTTGCTGAAAACACATTTTGGGTGTTTTGTATGGGATTTATTTTCACTGAGTTGAATGTAAAATATAGGAAAAAAGGTATATTAGCTGGATTTTATTTTCACTGAATCATTCCTTCATTGAAAATAGTGAAAATTAATTCTAAGCGAAAATAAAGTATTTTACGTAGCTTGCTTTTAAAACCATATATCTAAACTGGGCAAAGTGAGTTCAAATATGTTCCATATTATTAACATACTTCAAAAAATAGATTGAAATTATTGACGGCAATGATACTCACTTTAAAAATGATACGTTTTCATGAAAAGGCAAAATTAAGTTACAGGGATTTTTTAAACAAGGGAACAGGGGCGCAGTGTCCTCATGCCATGCACTCCCTTACCCTGGGGAGCAGATTCTCTGGCAACCATAAAATTCTGATTGACCAGGGATCACATGTGGTCAGTCTTCAACTGTGACCTGTCTGATAGTAATTTTAGCCCCAAGGAAGCCATAGAATGCTCAATTTTAACTTAGAATTATCAAAAACTCCACACCCTGGTAGGGAGAACCCTATCTCCCCCCACTTGGTGGCGCCGCTGAATTGCAGTGCTCCCTATTGCAGTTTTTTTCTAGAAAAAACCCTGAAGTTATACCCGGACTGTACTGTACATATATCATGTCATACATGAATATTAACCTTTACACCACCAGACTTTCTCGTCCAGACTTTCTCGTCCAGACTTTCTCGTCCAGACTTTCTCGTCAAGACTTTCTCGTCCAGACTTTCTCGTTTCACTTATTTCTTATATTCTTCATTATTTCTTCATTATTTCTAATTTTGGAGCCAACGGACAAAATTTGAGTAAATTTTCGCTTTTTTATCAAAAAATTTGGCTGTTTTTTTCCCAATCTTCTGAATGAAAGTGCAGACTATACAGAGGTCTATTTTGTGGATTTGTGATGAAAAGAGGGAACTGGTCCTGAAAAGGTTAATAATAAAAATACCTTTGTTGCAATCAAATCCACTTTAATATATTGCTGTGAAGGAACAAATTGTAAACAAGTCAATCTCAATTAGTATTTCCTCATCTTTGTTTCTCAGAATGGATGTTAGTTTCTCTTCATCTATTTTCTTGTTTAGAGGAATTGTAAGGTTATTTACAAAAATGTTTTTTTTTTTCTTATTTGTGAAGATTGCATTTGAGCAAAAAATGTGCTTCATCTTGGACACCTCTTTCTGAAATGTCAAAATTGTTAAATCTGTTCTTTTCAATTTGTAGGATTTGTGCACTAATTCTTATTTTGGTGAACAAAGATCTGTTATGCAGGGTTGTTAAGTATTTTTCAAATGGGAAATCTGATTTAAACTGCCTATATGTGCACATGTGTTTATTTTTGTGATTCTCTACTTTATGTGATCATTTGTTTTAGACCTAATTACAATGGCTGATTGGCAGCCATTTTAGATTTTCTTTAACATTTTTAAATAATGACATTTATCTTACAGGAAGGAGAGAATACAATCTCTGTCATTTTCCAGTCAGCTATAACTTATGCAAATCATACAGCAATGGCACATAAATATGAAGTCCCTCCTAGCTGTCCACCCTCTGTACAGAATGGTGAATGCCATGTCAATTACATCAGAAAGGAGCAGTGTTCATTCAGTTGGGATTGGGGACCAGCGTTTGCACCACAGGGTATATGGTAAGTATTGTCCCTCCTAGCTATCCACCCTCTGTACAGAATGGTGAATGCCATGTAAATTACATCAGAAAGGAGCAGTGTTCATTCAGTTGGGATTGGGGACCAGCGTTTGTACCACAGGGTATATGGTATGTATTGTCCCTCTTAGCTTTCTACCCTCTGTGCAGAATGGTGAATTCTATGTCAATTACATCAGAAAAAAGCAGTGTTCATTCAGTTGGGATTGGGGACCAGCGTTCGCACCACAGGGTATATGGTAAGTATTGTCCCTCTTAGCTTTCTACCCTCTGTACAGAATGGTGATGCCATGTCAATTACATCAGAAAAGAGCAGTGTTCATTCAGTTGGGATTGGGGACCAGCGTTTGCAACACAGGGTATATGGTAAGTATTGTCCCTCTTAGCTAGCCACCCTCTGTACAGAATGGTGAATGCCATGTCAATTACATCAGAAAGGAACAGTGTTCATTCAGCTGGGATTGGGGAACAGTGTTCGCACCGCAGGGTATATGGTAAGTAATGTCCCTCATAGCTTTCCACCCTCTGTACAGAATGGTGAATGCCATGTCAATTATATCAGAAAAGCGCATTGTTCATTGTTGGGATTAGGGACCAGTGTTCGCACCACAGGGTGTAAATGGTAAGTATTGTCCCTCCTAGCTATCCACCCCCTGTACAGAGTAGTGAATGCCATGTCAATTACATTAGAAAGGAACAGTGTTCATTCAGTTGGGATTGGGGACCAGCGTTTGCACCACAGGGTATATGGTAAGTAATGTCCCTCCTAGCTGTCCACCCTCTGTACAGAATGGTGAATGCCATGTCAATTCCATCAGAAAAGAGCAGTGTTCATTCAGTTGGGATTGGGGACCAGCGTTTGCACCGCAAAGTATATGGTAAGTAATGTCCCTGCTAGCTGTCCACCCTCTGTTCAGAATGGTGAATGCCATGTCAATTTCATTGGAACAAAACAATGTTCATTCAGCTGGGATTGGGGACCAGCGTTCGCACCACAGGGTATATGGTAAGTATTGTTCATCCTAGCTTTCCACCCTCTGTACAGAATGATGAATGCCATGTCAATTACATCAGAAAGGGACAGTGTTCATTCAGTTGGGATTGGGGACCAGTGTTTGCACCACAGGGTATATGGTAAGTATTGTCCCTCCTAGCTATCCACCCTCTGTACAGAATGGTGAATGCCATGTCAATTACATCAGAAAGGAACAGTGTTCATTCAGCTGGGATTGCGGACCAGTGTTTGTACCACAGAGTATATGGTAAGTATTGTCCCTCCTAGCTTTCCACCCTCTGTACAGAATGGTGAATGCCATGTCAATTACATTAGAAAGGAACAGTGTTCATTCAGTTGGGATTGGGGACCAGCGTTTGCACCACAGGGTATATGGTAAGTAGTGTCCCTTCTAGTTGTCCACCCTCTGTACAGAATGGTGAATGCCATGTCAATTACATCAGAAAAGAGCAGTGTTCATTCAGTTGGGATTGGGGACCAGCGTTTGCACCGCAAGGTATATGGTAAGTAATGTCCCTGCTAGCTGTCCACCCTCTGTTCAGAATGGTGAATGCCATGTCAATTTCATTGGAAAAAAACAATGTTCATTCAGCTGGGATTGGGGACCAGCGTTCGCACCACAGGGTATATGGTAAGTATTGTCCCTCCTAGCTATCCACCCTCTGTACAGAATGGTGAATGCCATGTCAATTTCATTGGAAAAAAACAGTGTTCATTCAGTTGGGATGATGGGACCAGCGTTTGCACCTCAGGATATATATGGTAAGTATTGTCCCTCCTAGCTTTCCACCCTCTGTACAGAATGGTGAATGCCATGTCAATTACATCAGAAAGGAGCAGTGTTCATTCAGTTGGGATTGGGGACCAGCGTTTGCACCACAGGGTATATGGTAAGTAATGTCCCTCTTAGCTGTCCACCCTCTGTACAGAATGGTGAATGCCATATCAATTACATCAGAAAAGAGCAGTATTCATTCAGCTGGGATTGGGGACCAGTGTTCGCAACGCAGGGTATATGGTAAGTATTGTCCCTCCTAGCTTTCCACCCTCTGTACAAAATGGTGAATTCCATGTCAATTACATTAGAAAGGAACAGTGTTCATTCAGTTGGGATTGGGGACCAGCGTTTGCACTGCAGGGTATATGGTAAGTAATGTCCCTGCTAGCTGTCCACCCTCTGTTCAGAATGGTGAATGCCATGTCAATTTCATTGGAACAAAACAGTGTTCATTCAGCTGGGATTGGGTACCAGCGTTCGCACCACAGGGTATATGGTAAGTATTGTTCATCCTAGCTTTCCACCCTCTGTACAGAATGGTGAATGCCATGTCAATTACATCAGAAAGGAACAGTGTTCATTCAGTTGGGATTGGGGACCAGTGTTTGCACCACAGGGTATATGGTAAGTATTGTCCCTCCTAGCTACCACCCTCTGTACAGAATGGTGAATGCCATGTCAATTTCATTGGAAAAAAACAGTGTTCATTCAGTTGGGATGATGGGACCAGCGTTTGCACCTCAAGGTATATGGTAAGTATTGTCCCTCCTAGCTTTCCACCCTCTGTACAGAATGGTGAATGCCATGTCAATTTCATTGGAAAAAATCAGTGTTCATTCAGTTGGGATGATGGGACCAGCGTTTGCACCTCAGGGTATATGGTGAGTATTGTCCCTCCTAGCTTTCCACCCTCTGTACAGAATGGTGAATAAATAAAAAATGATGTGCCAAACGTTTGAAACTGTCGTAGGTAGGTAGGTACAATTGGTTGTACTTTTATTAACATGTATAACATTGTATATTTTTTTTCCTAAAGGAAGAACATACATATTGAAGCCTGGAACTGTGCTGTAATCAGAGAGACGTCTGCCCTCGCTGTTAAGAGTAAGATCATTATTCTAGTATATACATTTGTTTTTATCGGTCTTCATATTCTCTACTGCATCAAAACTGTCAGTGGTATTGCTTTACTAAAATTACTAGATGATGAGCTGTTTTTTTTTTTTTTTGACACATTTCGCCGAATTTTGATGATTTTTTTTCAGGCTTGTAGCTTTTCATTCCCAGTAGCCCACACATTACCCACAATGCTATGTCATTTGTATTAACAAATATTGGTTGGTGAATTTTTGGTGAATGTCACCAGTACACAGCAACTTTTCTTTGCACTCACTTTGAACTCAACAAATCTTTGGTTCAGATGCCCTGGATGTGAAATTTGTTTAATTTTCTATCTTTTGGTAAATATTTCTTACATTTTTGGAGAAATCATGTACTAAATTTGTTTAATATTTTGCCTTTTGTAGTTATCTATCAGATTTGATAAAAATTTATTTGTAATTTTTGGTAGAAAATTTTATTTTTATTTTTTGAAAATGACAAATCTGATGGCTTGCAAATTGGTATTTTGTATGTAGGTTCCTTGGCTTTATCATATTTCTTCATGCTGTGTTCATTATTTTTGTAATTTTTGGCAAGAAAATTGCTTATCAAAAACTGCTAGTCCAAGTGCTCTTAGACTAATATTTTCTATGTAGGTGCATTATATGACCCCCTAACATAGTGTTTTTTTTAACGATATCTTCAATTCACTAAGTTTACTAAATAATTTAAAAAAAAAGTGCCATTATTGTATTATAGGTTTCTTTTTTAAATATGGCTTCAATTTTTTTGGTCATTTTTCGGCAAAAAAGCATCCCCCACTTTGAGTGTATTTGGTCTTGCTTTCAGCTGGCTGTAGAGCAACCCCACCCAAAATTCCGACCCCCCGCCTCCCCTCAAACCCTAACGTATTTTGTGAACTGTACATTTCAGTTGATGGTTCATGGGCGCTGAAACTTACGACATATGTAAATGTCGCTAATAATGCGAAGGTCAAAAGTCAGCAGGTCACTGTAATGTCTCAGATTCCAAATCTCGGGATTTCTTATTCAAAACCAGTGACAATATCGCCGGGTAAAAACGTACCAGTACAGATGGTCATTCCAGTAAAACAGGTAAAAATTTTATAAACTTAAAGCGAGGGATTCGTCACCTACGCATGCGTCAGGTGGCCATAGCGTGTCATTGTTTACCCATGAGCCTTTGCGTTTTTAGCGTGTGTTGTTATCATCACTTGGGACTCGGTGCGTGTGCAGGTGACAACTCTTGCTTTGAGGTAGATTGTTGACATTCAACCTATTAAGGAAAAGCAAAAAAATGATTGTTTGTTACTTCAAAAGTGTTACATATAGAATTTTTCCACTCAGTAAAAATATTCTTCTTTGGAAAAAAAAACTCTTACTATGCACAAAAAACAAACTTTCTTGGAACTATTTCTATTAATAGCTATTCATAATAAAACATTATTTTATGAAAAGTGAATAGTATTCGTTAGAAATTTCTGTCTTATTTTTTTTTTTTTTTTTTTAAAAACTCTGTTCTCTAAAACACCAGTGTCATGTAATACTTGTAAGCAAGTCGTAAAAATGGACTGAGAAACAAATCAAGCAGTCTGGACAACTCGTACATTGTGTACTAAAACAATGATTAGCAGAAGATTATTATTATTCAATACAACGCTATTTATGACTTTAAAATGAGATTTAGAACAATAATTCTTCCGGCTTTTTTTCGTCTGAATATTTGGTGGGCTTAAAGCTAACGTAGCTTTCTTTCAAAACCGTCAGATATGTAATCTGCATAAGTTTGTTTTATATTAAAAAAAGGTAAATACTAACGCCTGTCGCGGTTGCCAAAAGGTCATGTGAAATCTAGTTTACCCATTCTCACCTCATTCACGATAGTCTCAATGAACACTGATTATTTGGACACAGCGTCAACAAACAACAAACAATGTGTTCTCCTACAAGAAATATTTTACAGGGATATAAATAATATTTTGTCTTTATTCATTTTGAGT